TAAGTTATGGACAAACTTGTCAAGTTATGGTTCATAGCCAGACAAGTTATGGTTCATAACCAGACAAGTTATGGATGAAAATAATAATTTGGCCTATTTATTAACTTATGTAAACTATTGACTTATTAATTTTAATTCATCTCAAGTCTTGACCTATTTTTCTCTTTCTCTCCTAATTTTTCATGCTTTTATTTCTAACACTGCCGTGTCATTAGATGAGGGCCTCACTCACTTAACTTGGTGTTTGTTTCGATAGTTAGGGAAAAGATGAACTAAATGAAAAAATAAAAGATAAGTTGATGTAAGAGTTAGTGAAGAGTTCTTTTTCGTCTAAGATCATTTCTAATGAAATGTTAACGTTAATTATATATTTAGCGTTAAAAAGTGTGATATATTATATTGTTTTTATTTTTACTCCAATATATAATACTATTTAAAATGTTAAATCTATTTTTTCTATAATCACTAAACTTTGAAAGTTGTAAAAGTAAACTTTTATTTCTAAAATAATAGAAAATGAAAAGCTTGCAATGATTATATGAAAAAATAAACATTTTAACTAATAGTAATTAAATGTCAAATTTCTTGTGTTTAGTGAAAAATTTATCACAAAGTATAACATATTAAAAATTTAGCACAACAAATAACATTGTATTAGAGAGTATTTTTTACACTCAAATGTTAATGACATGCCCCAAAAATAGGCAGTGACGTGGAGCAGATTGTTGGTATTAGAGTAATACGTTTCTGGAGACATAAGGAGAGCGTCACAGGACTAACTATTCAGTTAAGGTGTAGGATTTATATTTTGAGGAATAAGAGAAATTAGAAATGTTAAATTTTGAATTTCTATAAGAAGTGGAGAATTATAGCATCCAAAGTTTTGAGCTTCTAGCTTAATACAAGAATATGAATAAGTTGATGTTTGTTGATATATTATTTTATTTTATTTAGGCCTCGTTCGTTTTGCGGATTCGAGGTTTTAATTTGAGCTGAGATTTAATATTTTCTAAGAGCTTTTAACTGTATCACAAAAAGTTATACTTGACATTTTTTGAGAGCTTTTAACTATAAAAACTAAAAATTAAAAACTCAAATCGGTGAAATAAACGAGACCTTAAAGATATATAAGTAGCCGATCCTCTATATGAAGTCAATACCTTGCACATAATACTTGGAAAAGAATAATTAGTTTAAATTTATGGGTCCAATCTCTATATAAGGATATGTGCAAGTAAGTATATTGTTTTAATTGAAAGTATATTGTTTTATTGTATATTAATTGTTTTAATTAGTAAGTATATTGTTTTATTAATTGTTTAAATTATTTTAATTAGTAAGTATATTGTTTTATTGTACATTAATTATTGTTTTAATTAGTAAGTATATTGTTTTATTAATTGTTTTAATTATTTTAATTAGTAAGTATATTGTTTTATTGTACAATAATTGTTTTAATATACAATAAAACAATATACTTACTAATTATTTTATGGTATATTAAAACAATTACTGTTCATCCAATGTGCAAGAACAATGATTTCGACCAAAACATATATATGTGTAGATAGATTTATATTTGTTTATCATGTTTATATCAGTCAAACATTTTTTTTAAGGAATATATAATAGTCAAACATATTGTCACATAGTGTCTAATAAGCATATTATCATGTATTATAGATGCTCAAATATTTTTTTTTCTCCTGAAAACATTATAGACGCTGAAACATGATAATATGTTTTTCAAGTTCAAATAACACCAGTGTTGTTTTTCAAGTTCAAATAAATCACTTTCTCAAAATGCCAAAAAAAAAAAAAAAACGATAAGCCCACAGAAAAGAAGTAATTTTGGTTTCAAAATAGATTTTTTTTAGTCTAAGAACGACTCGCCGTTTTATCATATATCGCAACAAAAATTAAGAACACCATGTCGTTTATATATTTTATCCTTTTTATAATTTTATTCAGAAAATGCAAAGGACACTTCAAACAATAAATGACCAGCCATCTTTTCAAAATATAAAAATAAAAAATATAACGAAAAACATTTTTCTCATAATGAAAGTTTCTTAATGATAATGAAAGCATAACTAAAATTACAACACACAACATTAATTAAAAATAGCTAGGTTGATTTCCCTTTTGTGAGTTTTTTAAGGTTATTGGATTTACTAGAGTTGTTAGGTTGATGTAGTTACGCCCAGGCAGCTGTCTTTTTAACTTTTTAAGTATTGCTGTCGTTTAGAAACAAGACTGTCGTCTTTGAAGTAATTGTCGCTAGATGGCGTTTTTAGCTAATCCTGTCGTTTTATGCAGTTTTTCAATTGATGTTTACTGTTGTTTGCAAAAGTAATGTCGTTTTTGAAGTGCTGTCGTTTTTGAAGTGCTGTCATTTTCTGATGTTCTTGTCGTTTTCCTGCTTAAAAGTTCATTGTCGTTTCATATTTTTTTGTCCTTTTTATGTGGTTTGAAATGATATTGTCGTTTTCAGTTAGTTGTTTCCAAGTTTGTGTCTTGTCTGTCCTTTTCTTATGGTACGCTTTTTTGATTGTCGTTTGTTTGAGGTTAGTACATTGTAATGCCATTGTCGTTTTCTACTTCGGATCTCTGTGTTTTTCGCTTGATATCGTTTTCAAATTTATACTGTTTTGGTTGTCATTTCCTCATGTAATGTAGTATTTCATTGTCGTTTCCTAGTACTTTAGAGACTTTTTGGGGAATATTGTTAATTTATCGATTTTTGTTTCTTGAGGAATATTGTTAATTTATGAGTTTTTAAGGATAAATATTATTTTATTATGTTTAATAGTAGTTGGTTTTTCTTTACAAAATTATTAGTTAACCATTTTTTGGGGAAGTAGTTAGGTTTTTTTTGTTTGAAAGAGTAACTCCAGATCTAGATGGTTACCCGTCGTTTTTAGAATTTTACATTGTAAACTTTTGAGAATTTTGTCAATGTATGAAGTCTGAGAGAGCTATCATTTTGTTCTTTCAGTCTCTAAGGATCTAAATGCCCAGAACATAATTAGTTTTTCTTAAATCCTTCATGTCAAAGTGTTTAGTAAGTCAAATTTTGACTGATGACAATGTTCCTACATCATTCATAATGAGTAGATTGTCGTCAATATATAATAGTAGAAAAATCACTTTCTTCTCTTTAATATGTTTATAAACACAAAGTTCATTTATATTTTACTAGAATCTATTAGTATTGCCCACTTGGTCAAATATTTTATTCCAAGAACGGAAAGCTTGCTTTAATCCATAAATATATTTGAGCAACTTGCAAATGTTATCCTATTGACCCTTAGCCTCAAAGCCATCTAATTGTACCATATATATACTTTTTGACCCTTTAAAAAAACTCACCGGTGGAACACTCTGTTTGACCGTTGGATTAATTTTTTTAACGGTTAGATTTGCAGAGGAAGCATTTTATACGGTTCCCTGTAAATTTTTAATATAGATCTGTGCAGATCTAACCGTTGAAAACTTAATCAAACGATTAAAATATATGCGACGTTGAGTTCATAGATTCAGAATCATGATTCATAATTCTAATTTTTAAAATTCAAATTTTTTATAAGAGAAAAATACTGTAAAAAATTAAAAATTATGATTCAAAATTAAGATAAACTCTTAAAATAAACATCCCAATAGTATTCCGCCGGTGAGTTTATTTTAAGGAATCTCATCCTAGGGCTCCCTTTACTTCCCTTTACTTTATTTTCTAGGTGGCTACGTCTTATTGGCTCTCTAGTTTTGAGCAACGAATTTTTTCCCTCCTTTCTAAAGGTGTTTCCTAATTATTATCACTTGTTAATAAATTTTCATTTATTAGTTTTTTTTTTTTATAATTTTTTTGATAACAACGGCTATTTTTTACTTCTGCGTGAATATTAAGATAGGCGGGGAATTATTTCTTTATTAAAAATAATAATAATATCGTCGCATTTGCGATCGATTTAGGATTAGGGTCTTCAACAAATTTGATTTGAGATCTCAAGAGAAATGCGTCGATCAAAATAATTAGGCTTTGAACAAATTGTGGTTTCCCTGGCCTGGAGAGCTACGATTAGATGGGCCATAATCAGGGCGAAGCGATATTAATTTCGGCTTCGTCTAGGTGAATTTTTAAATTCTTCCGATTCGTTTCTCCAGCAGTTCGATCTTCGTTTATCGATTTCTCTACTTCAGCATAGAAGCCCTAGAAAAGCTGTTTGATCAATTCGCTCTCTTTCTAGGGTTTCCGGATGGTCTTCACGAAAATTGAATGGAATTGAGGGAATCGAAGTTTAGATTCTGGTCATTTGATTGGACTTTCTAGACTGATACATGCACACAGACATATGCTCTGGTAAATCCCTCATCCTCGATTAATTTGGAGATCTCGTTTTCACGGATTTTAGTCAATTTAACTTCTTTTCGTTCTCAGTTTGTTTTTTCATTTCTTTTGGGTTTTGTTTTTTGGAGCTGGGGCTGAGATGATTTTTTAGCTCAGTTTGGCGCAATGTCTTGTCGAGTTTATTATTTCGGTTATTTTTTTTTTCTCTTTTTTGTTTTATTCTCAATTTAACATTTTTTCTGTAGTTTTTCAATTTTTATTCTTTTAATAAATGCAGTTCTGTGAATCTGCTGGTGAAAATAGGTGCGGTTGTGGATATCGGCGGCCATTTTTTTTTGGGGAATAATTTTCCTCGATTTACATTTTTTTCCTTTTATTTATTTTTTTGGGTGTCCTGTCCTAGAATGGAAATTGCCTATTGGGCAAGAGGGCTGAACTGAGGCCAAGATTAAGTTCGTAGGTACAGAATTGAATTGGGCTCACGTGTAGGCAACGGTCTGTAGCGCACGAAGGCCTAGGTGGCCCAACGTGACGGTTCCTTCAATATATCGTCTGCCCAAAGCCGTTGAGAAGCCCAGTTCTTTTTTTTTTTTTTGCAAATCGAGTTAAAAAAAAAAAAAACCTGTTTTGAGGGAGAAAGGAGAAAGGACGCAATATTAAAGCCTCGGAAGTTGAAGCTCTCTTCTCCGATCCAATCCTTTCACTGCTAAATGGAGGACGCTTTTGCTAGATCTGTCACTGAGGTAATTCACATCAGCATAAGCCAAAAATTGGTTTCCTTTTCCGTTTGGTTTCCGAGAAAATGCCAGAGAAATGAAATTGGTCATCAGTTTCGTGCCTGAGCTACGCTTCTGTTTCATTACTTCTCTGGAGTGGAGTTCCCAACTAATGTGTTTCCTTGGCTCTCTGTGCGCTTTAGGTATTGGATTTCTTTGGCGTGGAACCGACCAAAGGCCTTAACGATGCTCAGGTATGCCGCGCTTTTTTACTTGCTCGTTCGTTATCAGACAAAGATTTTAGGCTCGTCGGTTTGCTAGTTTGAATTTCACTTCGAATTCACTTTTTGACTCAAATTCTCAACTCGAACGAGCGAAACAAACCGGCCTTTATGTCTTCTTAAAAATCGAGTTTGCCGGTCGAAATCTTTTTAGTTTAGAGCCCGAACTTACATAATTGTTTCTTCTTCTAAAATAATACTGTCGCTCTCAGGTTTCGCAAAATGCTAGGCTTTACGGTAAAAACGGTATGTTTCTATTTTCAAAAGCTTGTACTTTACATGAATTTCCGAATTCCATCGGATTGTATTTTTTTAGTATTATAAATGTTTGTTTAGGACTACATGCAAAGAACATATATTCATCGCCAAAAAATGAGAAGGAAAAAACTCTCTGTTTTAAGGTGTTTGTATAATTAGTTATTGTCATTCCATATATTATAACTCTATTCGCTTTTTGTTGTTCTTATTTTATCCAAACTAAATACACAAAACCGTTCATGTTAATTATGTTGCAATTGTTATATGTTTTCAAGTTGCAAAATAAGTAAAATTTGAAGAAATTACTTGACTGTTCCCTCCCATTTTACTAGTTGGTTTCCGTAGAGTTGTTTTTGGCTGTCGTATTGGGATAAGATGGACTTCTAAGTATGTGTGGCGTATGAAGATGTCAAATAAGTACTGATATTGTTCATTCTAGCATTTCTGTTTTTTCAGGGTAACATTCATTGGTATTTCTTTTCACGCCGTCGTATATTCACCTTATATTTATAGGTTTTGGTTTTGATTTTCTTTATCTTCTATTTGTCTAATGTTTTTTGCCTTTTTGGTCACATGCTTCAAATACGATCTGCAGTGCTGCCAGAGGAGAGAAGTACGTATACACTATACACTATGCAGCTTTTTCGTTGTTCATTCTCGATTTGAAGTTACATAAAGCAAGTTAATTTGTTGTTCTTTGTTGTATCAAGTTCCGACATAAAAGTGTAGAAGGATTAGGAAAATTCTTTCTGTTACTACTAGATTCAAGGCTGTAGATCAAGGAAAAGAACATGCTTAAGTTGTTCTGTTGTGAAGTATTCTGTAACAAGTTGTAGACAGGGATAAGAGAATGAGAGCCGGCTGGTCGGATTTGGTTTCGCCCCTCCTTGTCACCTTACCTAAAGCCTTGGATGCTAAGATTTTTCTTTTGTTATTATTATAGATATGGATTTGTCAGTCTTATTTCTTTTCTTTTGTGGTTTAGAAAACTAGAAAGTTATATATTCACACATGTTGTTGATATGGTTCATTTTTTTTTTAAAATAATGCAAATCAAGCTTCTTTTAAATACGTTTCATCTTGGTTGTTCTCAAGCTTGTCTATTTCACATTTGCAGGGGCACCATTTTGGAAATTGGTCTTGAAACAATTTGATGATTTACTTGTTAAGATCCTGATAGCCGCAGCACTCATTTCATTCATTTTGGCTTTGGTTAATGGGGAAACAGGGTTAACTGCATTTCTTGAGCCTTCTGTGAGTAGTGGAGGCTTATGTTTCTCCTTCGCTGAGCTGTTTTGAATTGCATGAGAGCATCTCTTTTATTAATGAAGTTCCATCTGATTTTTTCAAATAAGTATATTTGTTGAAAAGGCATTGTTTCTATTAATAAAAATAATAATACACATCTCAAAGAAAAACATCTTTAGTTTAATGATTGATATCTGGTTTTGTCAAATTATGTATTGTTGTTGTTGTTGTCATTAGTTTTCCATGTTTTAAGTCTTGATTCATGGACATAGGAGATTTCTCGATGCAATTTGTTTAAGGAGAATTGTTGAATTACTGGTACTGTTAGACGGTTACATCTTTAATATGTTGTGATATTACTCTGCATTTGATCAATGATATTTATGATACGTTGACTTTGTAGTTGATTGTATTTTCCATAAGTAGCGTGCATACTCAGTGACGTATATTGGCTTCCCCTGCTCAAAATGGTCTTTATAGGCTATTGCTTTATTTAGTTATTTCTTTCATTTTTTTAATTGCATTGCTATTTGTACAGGTTATTCTACTGATATTAGCTGCAAATGCTGCTGTAGGAGTAATTACAGAAACAAATGCTGAAAAGGCCCTTGAGGTAGGTTTTGCATTCATAGGCTTTTCAACACGTATTAAAATTTGGCAAAAGTACCAGCTATAGCGGAGCCTTGTTCTGATAGTTTGAATTCTTCTTGCTGACCTTTTTCTTGTTGAAACTCACCTCGTGCAGTATGCTTAAGTTATGTTTGCAATTAGCATATTTCCTTGAATTTTGGAAGTGTATTCGATACTTGTATGCAATTTCCAGTTAGAGCTCATTTTGGTCTCTTTGATATATGTAATTCCGATCTTCAAGTGGAAAAACGTTTTTGCCATCATCATTAATGGATGGCCAATTTTGCTGGGATATTAAGGTCTTCTCAATCATTAAATATGAACCCTTTTTTTTTTTTTTATAATCTTGCAGGAGCTACGTGCATATCAAGCTGATGTTGCAACTGTACTGCGAAATGGTAAAGTAAATGTCTATTAAGCAAATTTATGGCCTTAAAATGTTGGCGATAATTTGCCTCATGTTTCAGACCTTTTGTCTATTGAACATTTTCCTGTCGGGACATGTAATTGTGCCTGTTTTCTCAAAATTTGTATGGTTTAACCTTATTGAGTTGCCCGTGGAAACATTTCTCTCTGGCTCTGGTATATGCTTTAGGACGGTATGGTCAGCCTTTTTAAAGGATGCATTTTTACTCATCTATGAAGTTGTGCTTTGGAGATAGGAGCACTCGTAAAACATTTGAATAAGAAAGATTATCTTTTAATGGTAAATTGAAGCTCTTTCTGTCGACAGGCTTTGTAACTTGATGTGCTTATTCTTGTTATCTGCCTGCCTAATATTTCCATCTTTGTTATCGTGTTGGGTGTGAAACTACCAATTTCCTCATTCTGATTGTTCCTGAGAGAAAAGAAACAAAATATGTGTGTATGTACATAATGGGGTTATTGTGTGCGTACATGCCGTTTCTCATGCTTTCTTGATGTTTGTGACATCACTTGCATAAGACGTATTATGATTTTACATTCCACCATCTAGCCATTCTTGCGATAGAAACTTTTCTTCATTGCATGATGCTCTAAATTAACTCAAAACATTTTTTGTCACCGACTCTTGTAGGTTGTTTCTCCATACTTCCAGCGACAGAGCTTGTTCCAGGGGATATAGTGGAAGTTGCTGGTAAGCTGGTCGATTCTATGAGTTTGCAAAAATGGTTTATTGCAATCCTCTAAAGGTTATTTATTCAACCATTCATTCATTTATTACTTTTTTATTTTTTTAGTGGGATGCAAAGTTCCAGCGGATATGAGAATGATTGAGATGCTAAGTAATGAATTACGTGTTGATCAGGCAATTCTTACAGGTACCACAACTATTGCTGCATGATAACTGCTATGTTGAGTAGGTAGTTGTTCATATTATTCTTGCTATTTTGTTGATAAATCGAGGCTTAATCCAACAACATTCTTGTAGACAAGTGCTTTGATTGTTGTTTATTAGTATGAGAAATTTATTTGCTTTTCATAGTTTTGCGAGTCTTTGTTGTTTAATGAGGATGGATTCATTTAAGAAGATTATATATGTAAGAGTTGGTATATTATGATCCCTGCTTTCAAATTGGAACCATGCTTTGAAGTTTTTAAGTTCTAAACTTTTGGAGCAAAATAAAAATGTTTATAGGGAGAGATGCCGTGTATTTTGGATTTATTCAGAAAGCACATATTTTAGACCATATCAAATATACCAGGATCAAAATAAACCAGGACACTTGAAATGTGTGACAAATTTATACCTTGAAATGGTCAAGGCTCATTTTTGACTAATTTAATGACAAAAACACCCTGAAAGTAAAAAGAAAAAAAAAAAAAACAAAAGAAAAGAAGAAAACCCCATTTTTTTTAAATCGAAAAGCCGAAAAAAAACTTTTGTTATAATAAAACAAATTGTAGATGGATAGTATACTTTCTTAGTAAACCCAAAATACAGGGTATATTTAAATTTCCCTATGTTTATATGGTATGCATGCATGTTACTAGGAGATGATTGTTCTTGCTTGCACAGGGTGGAATGGGACAATATTTTACGTCAAGTAGAGTTTAATGAGATGTTTGACTTTGGACTTTAGATTAAGTATTAGCGAGAAATTATGAACACTCATCCTCATCTGTACCTTATTTTTGGTTCAAGAGGTATTTAAAAAATTTATTTCCAAGGAAACTTAGGGGGTGTTCTTTTCATAGGTTTGAGTGGAAAACTTGAACTAAAATTCAAATTTTTGTGAGAGAAAACACTATAGCAAAATGTTGAGTTGTGATTCGAACTATGAAAAGAATGGGGCCTTAGGTTATCTGTTGTTGTATGTGCTTCTATAGGATATACATATATTTTCACCTGTTTTTGACTGCACGTTTCTGAAAACAATAAAATAAAGATGAAGGTCTAAGAGCTCCTGTTGTTAGGCCGGAGCACCAATTTTTTTTTTCCCCTTTTGATTTTGTGTTTCTTTATGTAGTGGTGATAATAGAGTTATCACACGTACTTCAGTCTCCTTTTATTAATTATTGCTTTATTGTAGTTTTCTTATTTATGTGAATATAGTTAATGGGGGGGTTATACTTGGTGCTTTTTATTAGTTTTGTACATCTACATGCATTAAATTAGTGCTGTATTTCATCAACAAATCTGACTTCTATAATGTTTGGTTTGATCTTTCTCTTTGCTAATCCTCACATCAAAGAACGTCTGTGTTCAGTAAATATTACTCAATGATGGTAGGTGAGAGTTGGTCTGTGGAGAAAGAGCTCGAGTCCACAATAGCAACAAATGCTGTGTATCAAGACAAGACCAATATTCTATTCTCGGTAATCACCTTAATCTTTCTAGCACGACTGAATCTGTTTCTGTTAATAATGTGCTCTACAATATACTGGAGAAAATGGGAAAGAAATGATTAAGATTGTGTTTCCATTTCCCCGTTTTTATTGGACAGCACTTCATTTCATTGTTTTTTAAATTAATATTATGTCATGGCATAATATTTTTTTTAAATTAATATTATATCCTGGCAGTTAGACTTTTGCTTCAAATTAATATTGTCCACACGAAATTATCCTAACTTGATACACTGACTTATTCAAGTACATATTTTGATGCCCAGGGTACAATAGTGGTTGCTGGCAGGGCTAGAGCTGTTGTAGTTGGAGTCGGGGCTCACACTGCCATGGGTAGCATACGTGATTCAATGCTCCAAACAGAAGATGTAAGAATTGTAAATCTTAAGTTTCTTTTGTCATGTTCGAGACAGAAAAGAGAAATCATCAGTTTGTCAATATTTTCAATTTTGTTTATTCACTGCATGAGATCTTGTTGCCAAATTTCTGTGACATAATATAGTCGGTGTCTATATTTTTCTACAATGATTTCATTAGTATCTAATGGTGGGAAAAATAGAAAGGTAAGCGGACAAGTCCTTTGCAAGTTTCCATTTGGTTTATTCAAAATTTTCTTTTCTGCAGGAAGCGACACCACTGAAGAAAAAGCTGGATGAGTTTGGTACTTTTCTGGCCAAGGTGATGACTGCAAAGTTTCTCCCTTTTCTCTTTGATATTCACCATGGCATAGGATTGTATTAGTAGGATCATATCTTTGTGTTATATTGTTCCGAGCAAATATGATTTTTCTCCAGAAATATTTTGAGAAAAATTTATTAGTACAGCATTTGTTCGTTCTATCATGTTTCTGGAGTTGTCATCTGACAGCATTTTTGTTTGTTCTAACATGTTTCTAGAGTTGTCATCTGACTGGTGTTTATTTATTTATCTATTTATTTATTTCGGGAGTGGGCAACGTATGGGAAATCATATTAGTTAAACTTGAGTTCAATTTAGCCAAAGTTGAACGAGTGTAAAAATTTGCATGACCAGAAAAAATTTTTGTAACGAAGAAGCATTCTTGACCTGTACTGTTATTTTACATACCTGAAAGTATCAACTAAGGTAAGTTTTACTTTGGACACAGAATAGAGACTGACGTGTATGACCTGAAACTGCTTCTATGAACCAAGCATTTTTAACCTGCATGAGGTTTCTTTATGGTAGTTTATTTGAGTGGACACTTCCAACAATACACACACACACACACATATAAAGGTTCACTAGTGTTTCCTTTTCCTAATTCTATGTGCGTATAGGTTATTGCTGGAATCTGTGTATTGGTCTGGATCGTAAACATTGGTCACTTTCGCGATCCTTCTCATGGAGGGTTCATGCGTGGTGCTATTCATTATTTCAAGGTAATTTGTGTGGACGACCCCTTTATTGGTTATGTAGTTCAAAATTCAAATTTCTCTTGTACAATTTTGGCAGTTTTAGTTGCTTTTGTTTTCTTTCATTTTCTGTGAGCTGGTTTTCTTTCACACTGTGAGGATTTCTTGTCCTCATTTCCCTTGTAATTGATTTTATTTATCAATTAAAAGATGTAGGAAAAAAAAGTTTTCCCTTGTCTGCTAGGCTAATTGACATCTTGAGTAAAGCTTGAACTTGTTTGATACTGGGTGACAGATTGTGGATGATACAACGATATCAATATGCAATTATGCATTTTGTACATATATGTTTAGGCTAATGTATTTTTGTTTTTTCTTTGGCACCCCTTCCCTCCTTTCTTTTTTCTTTATCTAGATTTTCCTCTTTTGATTTGGGTGGTTGAAATTTATGCTTCAATGACCTTTTTCTTAAATTACTTTCTCGTGCCTACCCAGATTGCAGTTGCCCTTGCTGTTGCAGCAATCCCTGAAGGACTTCCAGCTGTCGTTACAACGTAAGTTCTTTCATTGTTTAAACTTTGATGAATCAAACAAATGACCACTGGAACCTCTGAGATGCTATGCACAGTTAAACTTTTCTTTTTGGGAAAGGCTATTCAATGTGGGCGGACATCTCATGCTTGATTATAATGTAGGTGTTTGGCTCTCGGGACCAAGCGGATGGCTCGGTTGAATGCCATTGTTCGGTCTTTGCCATCTGTCGAGACCTTAGGTTGCACCACAGTAATTTGCAGTGACAAAACTGGGACTCTGACCACCAATATGATGTCTGTTTCAAAGGTGAAAATTTCAAGATGTTATCGTATAAAGTGAATGCTTTCTTTTTGACACCCTTGAAAGTAAATCATGTTGCATGAATGTTAATCCTCCAGTAATGTTAGTAACACTAAATTCATGCACCGAAGATTGTGAATCAACTTGCAACTTTTGAGATAAATTTTTTGACGAGAATTGAGGACCAAATTAATCCCGTTTGAAATTATTATAGAGGGTATGCTAGTACATCTATTTATGGTGTGTGTGCAAAGACAGGAACTTATCATAATAGAGGGTTACCATAATTGCCAAGGAAGAACCATACATGTACAATTTTTCTTCCTAACTTTTGTAATGGCCTTCTTGATTGGAATTAAGAACTCCATTAATAACTCTTTTTCCTGATTTTAGAACCTAGTGCTAGTGAATATTCATCTATTTCACTGTTGTTTCTCTAGGTTTGTGTGGTTCATTCAGTACAACGTGGCCCTCTGATTGCTGAATATAACGTCAGTGGGACAACGTATGCACCGGAAGGCATTATCTTTGACAGTACCGGGACACAGGTAGTTATCTAGACCGCAGGCACTAGTGAAGATTCAGTTCTAGTAGCACTCCTAGATGGAATATTTGATGCTGATATGATAATTATTCAATTTGAGCAGATGAAACTCTCTGAGTGCAAAGTTTTAACACCTAACTTAGATCCAAATAGAAACAATATGGTTTTCATTAGTTTCCTTTTTTCATTTCATTTTATATTTGTTAACTTCATTAACATCTTCAAGACTAGACCTAGATTTCTTTTGTTCCGTACTTCTTTCAGGAAATCCTATCCACATTTTGTCCAACTTTTTGCAGCTCGACTTTCCAGCACAGTTGCCTTGTCTAATTCACATATCAATGTGTTCAGCTCTTTGTAATGAGTCTATTCTACAATATAATCCGGACAAAGGAAATTATGAAAAAATTGGCGAGTCAACTGAAGTGGCTCTCCGTGTACTTGCTGAAAAGGTTGATCTGATATTTCTTACCTCATTAAAATTTCTTCTTTCTTTCATCTTTGTTTCTCCTTTATATACTTTTTATCATGCAGTTCTTTAACGTGCAAACTTGTTTGAACTTCATTGTTTCAGGTTGGCCTTCCGGGCTTTGATTCTATGCCTTCTTCACTGAATATGCTTAGCAAACACGAGCGTGCATCTTACTGTAATCACTATTGGGAGGATCAGTTCAGAAAGGTTATTATTTGCAATATGTTTAAGATATATATCTTTTGTTTCTTATTTCCTTTTTAATATACGGGAATGACTTGTATTAATGTATTTTCTTTCTGTTTTTATGTTATTGTATGGTACCTTGGGAATAAATATGCTTTCTGTTCGTTATCTCTTCTCACAGTATTTGCTTTTAAGGAAAAAGAAAATTATGTTGGTTAAAACAGTAATGTCTTTGGCCTAATGTCTATATGTTTTGCTTTTTTGCTTGTTCTATATCTTCAGATTTCTTTGGTATTTCTTGAAGAGTGGTTTTGTATGTAATCTTATTCTGCACGTGTGTCAAGGAAATGACACTGCTTAAAAAGTTGTTTTTTCATAAAGTGTGCCCTTGAAAAGTAACACTCGACCCCCTACCTTATGTTATTATCTGATTTTTGAGGCAAATCTAAGATTACTGTTTGCAGGTTTCTATAGCAGACTTCACTCGTGACCGGAAAATGATGAGTGTCCTATGCAGCCGAAATCATCTTCAGATAATGTTTTCAAAAGGTGCTCCAGAGAGCATCATTTCTAGGTGCACAAATGTTTTATGTAATGACAATGGTTCCACGGTTCCACTTACTGCCAGTACCCGGGCGGAGCTGGAATTGAGGTTGCAGAGGTTGGTGCATCTCCTCCTCTTCCCCCAAAGTTGAAAATGTTTTTTTTTTCCTTGATAATTCACATTCCTAAAATCATGTGGTGTTTTTAGAAGGTGATAGATTATTTTTTTTTAATATATTCTTCCAACATTGTGTTGTTACCTGTTTCGTCAAATTTCATAGTGCACTGCAGTTGGCTTCAGTTTATCAAATGTGTGATTTTCACCATAACATTTCATTGGGAGTTCTATTCAATTCCTTAAGAGTGTATTACATGCGTATTCATACGTCATATGTATAAATAAGAATCGGTATATGTGATAATTTTACAGCAATTTTTGTATTTAGTTTAGAAAGGATTGAGAATTTTTGAAGTTTTGGGATGTTGATGATCTATGGTTTCGAAGTTTTGGTCGTGATCAGTTGGATCTGCTTGCTTTTGCTTCTTGACATTGATACATGCATTACCTGTTTAGTTGATTAGGTTGTTCTGGATTTTTTTTTAATATGTTCTGGATGATTTCTCCTTTTATTATCCCTATAGAAATCCTCAACATTGGTTGAAAGGATGAAAGAAACGAGTATGTTTCCCGCATTGGTTTGTCATTGGATCCTAAGTATCTGATAGGAGCCAGGCAGTTTCTAAGACACTGATGAACAAGAAATTGAATTATTATTGAATTAACAGATAAAAGAGTACAAAGAAACCCAGAAACGGTGGTATTCAAGAGACCACCAGTTCTCCCAAGGGTTGCCCCAAATCCCAAATAATCTGACTATGCCCTTCTAACTCCTAATCCCTTCATTTTATACTGCTCACTCACTTCTAATAACTACTAACAGCCAAGACTAATCAGATCCAACACCTAAAACCGTCTCACAATGTTCCTAAAAGATAACACTCTTATTAACTAACCATATTAACTTCTAGGAGCCTATCAGTATCATTATGATATGTACTTTTCAATAGCAAATTAGATAAAGTTGGAGTATAAATGAACTTGGACCAAAATTTTCTGTCTGATTTCTTGGCATTTAACATTAACTCGATAATTCTGGCATTCCTTCCAATTTGAGAGGCTGAGGCACTTTTATACTTTCGTCAGATAATATCTTCTTATAGCAATTCACTGTGCAAACTTGTCTTTTCTGGTCAGTTTTGCTGGAAAAGAAACATTAAGATGCTTGGCGCTGGCCTTGAAGCAGATGCCCGTTGGTCAACAGACAATCTCCTACGATGATGAGAGGGACCTGACATTCATTGGGTTGGTATGCTTTCTCTCCCGATATAGATAGCTAGGTTTATTTACCGTCTATATCAAGTACTAACCATCTTGCTATACGTCAGGTCTTCCAAATTCAAATTACTATGTTGTCTGAATTTTTCTTTTCCATTTTTTTTTTTTAAAATTATGAACTCAAGGTAGGTAATTATTTACTTGTTGCTCTTGTTTTCACATTTGTGACTATAGCCTCAATCAGTGATTACATTTCCCTTTTATTTCTTTTACCTTGTAGTTAAGCTCACATCATTCTCGGTTCAATTTGGTTTGTCATTTAAAGTGTTTGCGGGTCAATCTAGTCTTGAGGTTCAACATGTTTCATTAGAATCTTTTTTTTTTGCATGATTTTTCTTATAATGCTCTTGAAGGTTGGAATGCTTGATCCACCAAGGGAAGAAGTGAGAAGTGCTATGCTTTCATGTATGACTGCTGGCATACGAGTCATAGTTGTAACAGGCGATAACAAGGTAAGTCAAAGTTGGTGTCCTTGTGAAGTTAGGTGTGCAGTTATTTTTGTCTGTGGGTTGTGTAAATACACATATGCATGTATACATACGTGTATATTTATACATACATATATGTTAGTATGTATATCTCATATGTCTATGCACGTGTGTGTACGTGTACAGTTGTTTTTCATTTGCATCATAATTAGGCATAAACATAATGCATAAAGATGAATACAATGCAGAGACATCATTAGTTATTATTTTTGTTATTTTTTTTCTTCATATTTATCTACGGGTTTAATGTACCTTACTATTTACTAATTATAACACAATTTCAGTCTACAGCTGAATCACTTTGCCGCAAGATAGGTGCTTTTGATGACTTGGTAGATCTTGCTGGACGCTCTTATACTGCTTCTGAGTTTGAAGAATTACCTGCATTGCAACAAACATTGGCATTGCAGCGTATGGTTCTCTTTACCAGGTATTCTGTTTGCATCTTAGTTTTATTTTGCAGGTTTTTTGAAAATGTGGATGACGTATTGTAATTCTTTTCAATGGGATTTGTTCTCATTTGTTCACTCAGATTTTTTTCTTAACCAATTAGGGTTGAACCTTCTCACAAGAAAATGCTGGTTGAGGCCTTACAGCACCAGAATGAAGTGGTATATCTCTTAACTTATACCAGTCAGATAACTTCAAAATGCTTGCCTTACTGCTGGTTTAGAAATTTAATTTTGGTACTTGTTAACTTTGCAATTTTCATTACTTGAGGTTATAGTTTTTGTGTGTGTTTTTGGCAGCTTTTGATGTTTGGTCATTTTCCTAGCTGTTTGGTCATATGTTGGTGCTGTATATATCCCTTAAAAAAAATGATGTTTGTGGTCTTGTATTGATGCTGTATATTGACCCAACCTCTTCACTTTCAGAGGAGTATCATCTGATGTTTGGTCATTTTCCTAGCTGTTTGGTCATATGTTGGTGCTGTATATAGCCCCTAAAAAAATGATGTGGGTGGTCTTGTATTGATGCTCTATATTGACTCAACCTCTTCACTTTTAGAGGAGTATCATCCATTATTTTTAATCGTAGTTGTTGATGAATGTAATAAAAAAATCTTCTGCGATGAAATGTGTTAAGAGTCCGTTTCAAAAAAAAAAAAAAGTGTTAAGAGTGAGTGACGAGATTATTTTAAAATTTGCTGTTAGCAAACGAATGCAAATGAGTGGAAATGAGGGGTTCTTTCTTTCTACAAACTTGCTGTTTTGTCTTCAATGTTTTGGAATCTATATGTAGAAACACACTACTAACTGATGAAGTAAATAGAAGCTTGTAGAATTATGTAATTAGTTAGGAAATATCTATATTTAGTTAGAATAGATTTTTAGTGTCTTTTTCTTATTTGTTTAGGTACAACATATTTCCAGCTTTCCTATTTTGGTGGAATTCCTAATTAAAGGGATTCACTTTCTGTTTTTCCTTTCCTAGATTTGTGGACTGGTATGCCGGCCACTCTAGATTAAATACTAGATTGTAATTCAATCATGGAATGAGAAAAAGTATTATTCTCATTAAAATCTTCATGGTATCAGAGACAATCTCTGAACCCTAACTCATCCTAGGCCTTCCTTTCCCTTGCCGTATTCTCACCATGACCAAATACGTCATGGCCTCACAATCCTCTTCATCAGAAATCACCTCCACACCCGAGCCACACTCATCAGTTCCTATCATCACTGATAATTCCTCTCATCTTGTCACAAACCATAAACTCCAAGGCCATAATTTTCTTCAATGGTCACAGTCAGTTTTTATGTACATCTGTGGTAGAGGAAAAGATGGACATCTCACAGGCGAAACCCCTGCTCCAGACATGGCAGATCCTAAATACCAAACCTGGAAAACCGATGATCACATGATTATGTCGTGGCTCATAAATTCCATGACCACGGAGATCGGAGAGAATTTTTTGCTCTATAGGTTGGCCAAGGAAATCTGGGAGGCCGCCTATGAAACATACTCCAGCACTGAAAACTCATCTGAATTGTTTGCGATTGAGACCAAACTGTACGACCTACGACAAGGAGAATCAAGTGTCACTCAATACTTCAACAATCTCACACGTTGTTGGCTGCAATTAGATATGTACGAGACTTATACTTGGAAGTGTCCTGATGACTTTGCCTTATATCAGAGAATCGTTGAACATGAAAGAACCTTCAGATTTCTTCTTGGTCTCAATAAAGACCTAGATGAAGTCAGAGGGAGAATCATGGGGATAAAACCCCTTCCTACTCTCCCTGTTGAAGGGTCAGCCTTTTACACTCACAACTCATCTCAAGAAAATAAATCTAGGAAGGGACGCCTATGGTGTGAGCACTGTAAGAAACTTGGTCACGTGAAAGACACCTGCTGACTGGAAACCAAACCGGGAAAGACATGCGAACGCTGCTGTTGCACCAGAAAACAATGAAGGAACCAGTCCGTTCACCAAGGAGCAACTGGAAGGCCTGCAAAAGCTGTTTGGTAATATTTCCTCCTCCGCTCAAGCATCACAGTCATCTACCAAACAACCAACCAGTCTATTAGCACACCAAGGTATTCCCTTCTCTGCCCATATTGTGCATAATAGGAAACTGAAACCTTGGATAGTCGACTCCGGAGCCTCCAATCATATGACTGGAGACATCAATATTTTCCACAATTACAGCCCATGCACGAGTCATTTAGCAGAGTGACTTAAACTGTGTGACTAAATTCTATTCAAACTTGTGTGTATTTCAGGCGGCAGATTCGGGGAAGGTGATTGGCAGTGCTGAGATGCGTAGTGGTCTATATTTGCTCAAAGAAAATGATCCTCTGGGTAGACAAGTTCATCCGTCAAGTTGTGTTTCCGAGTCTGTTTCTAATTCTATCAGTTTTGTTTCTGAGTCTATGTTAGTTGAGAGTCAAGTAATGTTATGGCATTTTCGCTAGGGCCGGCAATATGGGTCACGACACGACGACACGACTCGAAAACGACACGAATTTTGCGGGTTAGGGTTGAGAAAAAAGAGATTCGGATCAGCATTGGGTCGACCTGAAATTGACACGAAAAACACGGGTCAATTTCGGGTTGGACCCGCCTAACCCGAACACAACACGAAACTCGTAAAAAACTAAAAAATACATATATTTTTCATTGCATATTTTAAATTTTATTATGAACTTATGATATCATGATAGTTATACTTAAAATCTTATACTATTATTTGTTTAATTTCAATGGATGTTATTGTAATTTAGTGTGTTATGAATTTTAAGTTATTTTTAATATGTAAAAAACTAAATAAAAGTATACAATTTTCGTGTCAATTTCGGGTTCACGGGTCAATTTCGTGTCACGGGTCATTTTTGGGTCGTCTCGTGTCAACTCGTAAAGTGGTCGTGTCGTGTTCGTGTTGCGGTTTTTAAAAAATTTCGTGTCGCGGGTCGTGTTCGGATTGACTGTAAATTTAGAAAGAAACGATCAAAACACGACATGAACACGACACGTGACACGAATTGCCACCCATAATTTTCGCTTGGGTCATCCGAACTTTGTCCTTGAAAAATTGTTTCCACATTTGTTCATCAATAAAAAGTCTAATTTCTATCAATGCGAAACGTGTCAGCTTGCAAAACACACCAGACGTGTATATTCTAACCTGCCATACAAACCCTCGAAACCATTCTCCGTGATTCACAGTGACATTTGGGGGCCCTCAAGAGTAAAAAATATAAATGGAGCCCGTTGGTTTGTTTCATTCATAGATGATCACTCACGAATAACCTGGACATTCCTTATGAAAGAGAAATCTGAAACAGTATCAATATTTCAATCCTTTCATTCTATGATTTCCACTCAATTTCAAAGCAAAATTCAGGTCCTTAAGACAGATAATGCCAAGGATTATTTCAATTCCATTCTTGGTCCATATCTCTGCAAACATGGCATCATTCATATAAGTTCTTGTGTTGATACCCCTCAACAAAATGGGGAAGCTGAGAGGAAAAATAGGCATTTGCTTGAAGTGGCCCGTTCAATTATGTTCTATAATCATGTTCCTAAACACTTTTGGGAGGAAGCCGTACTCACAGCCTCATATCTCATAAATAGGATGCCCAGCCGAGTTCTTAAATTTCAAAGCCCACGTCATGTCATCATTAAAACCTATCCACATATCAGATCCTTCTCCTCTGACTTACTACTGCGTGTTTTTGGTTGCTCTTCCTTTGTTCAAATTCACCAATAACATCGCACCAAACTCGATCCCAAGTCACTTAAATGCATATTTCTTGGTTGCTCATTGAATAAAAAAGGGTACAAGTGCTATTCTCCTATTACTAGGAAAGTGTTCAACTCTATGGATGTCACCTTTTTTGAAAACCAGCCCTTCTATCCCAAATCCGAAATTCAAGGCGAGAATTCAATGGAATATCAGATTTGGGATACTCTTCAAGACACTCATTCAAGAGTCCTCTTTAATGCCTAACTCCACTGACAGTCATGTTGAACCAAATCTTGATACTCAAACAGCCCCACTCGAAGCCAATCTTCATCAACCTGACACTAGCAATCATGAACTCCGTGTCTATTCCAGAAGGCGAAGACCCATTGAGCACATAAAAGACACTATGCAAAACCGGGGCTGTCAAGAGCCAAAACCAAGTCCACCTGCCTCGGATACTCACACTGGTATGGATTCCTTATCCCTTGAGTCTCTTGTGCCTCACATTGATGATTCTTCTCTGCCAATTGCTCAAAGGAAGGGTATCCGAGGGTGTACAAGTCATCCCACTGAAAGATATGTAGCTTATGGGCAGCTACAACCATCTTACAGGGCCTTTGTGACAAAACTTGATAGTGTGCAGATTCCTAACTCTATCCAAGAGGCATTAAAAGATTCAGCATGGAAACAAGCGGTCGAGGAAGAAATTCGGGCCCTGGAAAGTAATGATACATGGATTCTTACAGAATTACCTTACGGGAAAAAGGCTGTGGGCTGCAAGTGGATATTTACGGTTAAGTATTGAGCAGATGGAAGTGTCGAGAGGTTCAAAGCTAGACTTGTAGCAAAGGGCTTCACTCAATCATATGTGATTGACTACCAGGAAACCTTTGCCCCTGTTGCCAAGCTGAATACGGTACGGGTCCTTCTCTCTCTTGCAGTAAACCGAGATTGGCCTCTACACCAACTTGATGTTAAGAATGCCTTTTTGAACGGAAATCTGGGAGAGGAAGTCTACATGGAAATACCACTGGCTTGGAAAACAACTCAAACAGCAATATGGTTTGCAAATTGAAGAAGTCTCTATATGGTTTAAAGCAATCTCCTCGTGCTTGGTTTGACAGATTTGCTAAAACCGTGATAATGAATGGGTACCATCAGTGTCAAGTAGATCATACTCTATTTGTAAAGTCCTCTCCTGGAAATCTAATTGCTATCCTAATCGTATATGTAGATGATATCATTTTGACAGGTAATGATGCAGGAGAAATTCTCAAACTCAAAAGGATGCTTTCAACAGAATATGAGATTAAGGATCTTGGAACTCTCAGATACTTTCTGGGAATGGAGGTAGCTCGGTCTAAAGAGGGAATTGTCATATCCCAACGGAAGTACATTCTAGACTTGCTTAATGAAACAGACATGCTTGGGTGCAAACCTGCTAACACGCCCAAGGACTCCAACAGGAAGCTTAATACAACTGAGGAAAGTGTTCCAGTTGACAAAGGAAGATATCAGAGACTTGTAGGTAAGCTCATCTACCTATCACACACAAGACCAGACATTGCATATTCCGTCGGCATTGTAAGCCAGCACATGAACAATCCAAGTGAGGATCACTTAGAAGCAGTGAATAGAATTCTGAGATACTTGAAGATAACTCCGGGACATGGTTTATTTTTCAAGAAGTCTGAAAATCGGGATGTAGAGCTCTACACAGATGCTAGTTGGGTAGGAGAATTGACTGACAGGAGGTCTACAACCGGCTACTGCTCATATGTATGGGGCAATCTTGTCACATGGAGAAGTAAGAAGCAAGCCGTGGTCTCTAGAAGCAGTGCAGAATCCGAATATCGTGCTCTCGCATTGGAAATTTGTGAGGGAATGTGGCTTCAGCGGCTGTTAAGGGAACTCAAAGTTGAGACCAAAGACATGATCAAGATGATGAGTGATAGCCAAGCATCCATTAGTATTGCCAAGAATCCCGTTCACCATGACAGAACGAAGCATATTGAGATTGATAGACACTTTATCTCTGAAAAGGTCAACAATGGTATCGTGGAACTAAGATATGTTCCAACAAGATTTCAAATTGCTGACATTCTCACCAAAGCACTTCCAAAGGAAAGCTTCGATGAACTAAACTCCAAGCTTGGTTTGTACAACATATACAATCCGAGCTTGAGGGGGAGTGTAGAATTATGTAATTAGTTAGGAAATATCTATATTTAGTTAGAATAGATTTTTAGTATCTTTTTCTTATTTGTTTAGGTACAGCATATTTCTAGCTTTCCTATTTTGGTGGAATTCCTAATTAAAGGGATTCACTTTCTGTTTTTCCTTTCCTAGATTTGTGGACTGGTACGCCGGCCACTCTAGATTAAATACTAGATTGTAATTCAATCGTGGAATGAGAAAAAGTATTATTCTCATTAAAATCTTCAAAGCTTATCAGCTATCCAAGTCTTTTTGGAATAAGCTTTGTTAAAGTTGGGTAACTATGGCTTTTTTGTTCTCCGGGGAATGTTTAAGTACCAGTCTCTTTGTAGGTTGCGATGACGGGTGACGGTGTCAATGACGCACCTGCACTAAAGAAGGCGGATATTGGAATTGCCATGGGTTCTGGAACCGCGGTGGCGAAGGTACATTGTTATGGAGCGATTCCCTCTTAAAATGCCAAGTTACATTGTCATCAAGTCATCAATGCAATTTGAAGTTCAACATGGATAGAATTGGGTCCCATGATTTCAGTTTTAGCATTATCAGTGTCTTCTTCACATGTTCATTGTCTGTTTGCAGAGTGCTTCAGATATGGTTTTGGCAGATGACAATTTTGCTACCATTGTAGCGGTATAATTTTATTTTATTTATCTAACTATTCATATAGCAAAATGGAGTTTACTTTATAAGGAAAACTATGCCATTCAAATTTACCAGCGTTTTAATTCTTGTCAGGCTGTTGCTGAGGGGAGGGCTATATATAATAACACTAAGCAGTTCATCAGATACATGATTTCTTCCAACATTGGTGAAGTAGTTTGTATTTTTGTAGCAGCTGTACTTGGAATACCTGATACTCTTGCTCCTGTGAGTTTCTTCACCGATCTTTCGAGTTTCAAACTGCCTTTCCTTTTGACTGTGTATTCACCGAACATAATTCGATCTTTCAAGTTCAACTTGCTGATCGATTTTATAGGACAACAACAGTTAGTTTATCTTTTAAATTTTCAATTTGTTTTTCAATTTCTAATATATTAGTTTTTCTTCATATTTTTAATGGCCAATTAAGAGGTTTTGTTTTGAAATCTCTTGTTATTATTTATCCAGGTCCAACTGCTATGGGTTAACTTAGTTACTGATGGCTTGCCGGCCACTGCTATTGGTTTTAATAAGCTAGATTCTGATGTAATGAAGGCTAAACCGCGTAAGGTATTGTATAATGATACGATCTAGGCTTTTATTTGTTAGTTACTCCGTGCTGAATTTTTTATTAATCTTCTCTTCTATTGATAATTGATTGCAAAGAGGATGTTAAATGAGACTTGACCTAGGGTTGGCAATTTTATACGCTTGGCCACTTTGCAGAATCCACTTGTGTTTACTTTTTCCATCTTTTGTTTGTGAAACATACTCTTGAAGAATCACGTCAAAGCAGTCCCTTTAATGTTTTTTGTCAATGAACTCTGCCCTTCGTCGTATTAGCTATACATCCTATCAGTTTTATATGAATAGTTTTGGTATTCAGTTTTCTGTTACATATAGAGTTATTTCTCTTGCGATCTCAGTTTAAATTCAATTTGAATATGCAGGTGCACGAGGCAGTAGTTACTGGATGGCTGTTCTTCCGTTATTTAGTAATTGGAGGTTGTGAGAATGTCAGAACCTGTTGCTTTTGTCTTTCTTATGCTGATTACCTATTAGCTGCAAATCTATTTAATTTTTCTTTAACTCTTACGATACAATGACGAGGATTTATTGCCAAATATAGGTAGAGAGATTTTAAAAGCTTTGAAATGAAAAACCAAACTTCATTTTACATTTTTGGTTTTGGAAGTGATGCTTGAATTTCAATTCTTACACCTTTTTTTTTATTATTTTCTTTTATTTTTTATTTTTTTTTAATGACGTTTTACATGTTGCTTATTGTAGCTTAGGAACAACCAACTTGGTAGCGTTCTTAGTTGTTTTTACTGTTGCAATTTTATCTGTTCATCTCAAGTGACAATAATTCCTAATCTTTCTACGAGGCCAGCTATCTGGGATTTTTTTCTTTCGTCTTTTATTTTTATTTTATTTTTTCATTGATAAAAAACAAAATGTTTATAGCAAAATTAACAGTACAAGAGATCACAGGAGTTTAAATGCCTATGCCTAAAACCTTTGTCTAATGCAACCTGAAGTTTTCATAAAAAATTAAAGTTAGATTTTTCCAACTAAGCTATATGATACTTGTCTTTCCTTAAAATCCTTCACTGATGGAAGGACAATTGAAGGCTAATTGCTGTCTTCATGAAAAGTTCTTTACAGTATTTATTTTTTCTTATACCATTCCTATAGAAAACGTATAAATTATTATTTGCTTTTTACCTTTTTTGCAGCTTATGTTGGCCTTGCCACGATTGCGGGATTTATATGGTGGTTTGTGTATGCTGATAGCGGTCCTAGACTTCCTTATAGTGAGCTGGTAAGCTTCTAAATATGCTGTAACTAGAATGTTGATTTAATTACCAAGATTTTCCTCAGTATTGAGTATGGGGCAAACTAATTTTCTATTGAAATTTTGTTGTTTATGTTCAATGTCTCTTACCTCAGATGAACTTTGACTCATGCTCAATAAGGGAGACAACCTACCCATGCAGTATTTTTGATGATAGGCATCCATCAACTGTGTCCATGACCGTGCTTGTCGTTGTTGAAATGTTTAATGCTCTGAATAATCTTAGTGAAAACCAATCTCTTCTGTAAGTATGTGAACCAACTGTTATATTTTGAATTTAATCCTGGATAAGGTCTTACATTATCTGAATCATGGTTCACCAGTAAATCTGGCTAAAATGAATTAAATTAGCTGTTAGGTATTGATTAACACTTTTTTATCAATGTTTAGCTCAGAAGGAAAAATGTGAAATTATTGGATAGAAATTGGGGGGTGCTGCTAAATGAAAGGATCTTATCAACATTCGTGTATGATAAATTATAGTGTAGGTCAAATTGCTGATTCAGAAAAATGTGTTGCTGTCATGTAGTTTTGTGTCTGCTTAGTTAAGCTCAAGATTCGGTTTGCAGCTGTTCAATTCTAAAAATATAATATGCAGAAACTCAGAATTGATGATACTTCTGTCTATACGAAAATTGTTTAGCTTCTTTTGGATAATAAGTTGTGTTTGGATTGTTGAACATTGCACGTTGACCTTCATATTTTCTTTCAAAATAAGGATTCCACTACATGTTGATTATGTTGATTTTGTGTCAGCAAAGAAAGAGTAATATGTATGTCTATGTATATAGTTAAATTATTACTTCTATCTTCTATGATGAAATGAGGATTATTATGCGTTATAACTGATTGTCTAGTTTTTCTTTCCAGTGTTGTCCGTCCCTGGAGTAATATGTGGCTTCTTGCTTCAATCATCCTTACTATGCTCCTTCACATACTAATTCTGTATGTGCATCCGCTCTCTGTTCTTTTCTCTGTAAGTCATTCTCTGCATCTAAGATCTACCTCTTGAGTCCCGAGTGATGGTTTGCTTTCTTTTCATCCCTCCACACAAGTAAATTCTGTTGCTATGTGGTTTCTTGATGTAGGTGACACCGTTATCGTTGTCTGAGTGGGCGGTTGTCCTTTATCTTTCATTTCCGGTATGTATGTATGTGTGTGTATCTAAAAGTATTAAATATATTTTCAGGATATATGTTACTATAAAATTTTCTGAAAAAGGAACATGTTTCTTAGAATTCTTTACCACTCGGTCTCTTAAATACTTTTAAACTACTAAGTAGATGTGAGGTACAGAATGCATTTTCCTTACATAATTGCTAAAGAAGGGGAGGGTATATGCGATGCTGAACTTTGCATTCAGAATTCAATGCTCATTCTATTATGTTTTCTGTAGGTCATAATCATTGATGAGGTGCTAAAGTTCTTCTCAAGAAATTCAAGTGGTAATTTTCGTTCTGTTTACGGAGTCTTTATCTCGACTTAATGCATCATTTTTGTTCTTCTAAATTACAGACTTGTGCCACTAATGGTAGTGTTAACCGAACAATAGTCTATGCTGAGATACAGTCAACTTCAACTTCAAGTAAACTTGTTCAGTAGATTTTGAGATAGTATCGGGTTTAGATAACAGAACTCGATCATTGCTTTCTAGATTAACATGTTTTTTTCCCCCTCTTTGTATGCGTTCATTTAGATTTTAGACATCTTTGTGTGTGCACATATGGCCTGTTGACAAATTTACGGACACCCTTATGGAAATCTGTTACACCCGGGCCTAGGCGAAACAGATACGAACAAACGTACTCTAGAGGAGCTCGTAACGTTTTCGGTTGGGGAAGGGATGTGAGTGTGTGAGAAAGGTTGCTGATGTGGCCAGTAGGTGGTTAGGCTAGGCTAGGGAATAGTGCCTAGAGAGTAGGGAGGTTACAACGGCCTTAGGGATTTAAGGGAGAGTGTGCGCGAGAGGAAGGTATCGGGAAAGAAAACTTATTCTTACTGTTTCCTTATTGCTGGCCGAGCTAAGCTCGTGGATTCCAGTGAAGATTAATGAATTTGGATCCTTTGGTTGAGGTTCCTTCAATAATCTAGTTGTGGTATTGTTTCTGTGGTGTGTGTGTGTTGGTTCTGTGTTGCAGGTACTCGGTGGCCTAACAAAATCATGTTAATGTCTGCTTTTTTGGTTGTTAAAGATTTTCATGGTTGTTTTGTTCCCTTGTCTAGGTGTGAGATTCAATTTCCGATTCAGAAGGCCTGATTTACTTCCAAAAAAGGATTTGCATGACAAGTAAAAGATGGAGTTATCATGTCACCCAAAATTTTGCTCACATATCTACACCCAAAAATTACAGAACTCTTCCACAGGTACGAGGATGGGTGCATTCATTATGCTTTGTGTCTATACTGACGCACATCACCAAGATATAGTTGGTTCTGCATTGGTTCCTTGTATGCCTATCAAAATAAGAAAAAGGAAATATTTTCCCAAAAAATGTCCCAAACAAATAGCAAAAGAAAATTCTAGCTCATCAATTTCCGGGCTTGTACACAAACTTTTTGTTGTTAATTGGACATGCTTTCGTTCATGATGAGTTCCACCATGCACGAAAATTTTCAGGCCAGACGCGTCATCTGTCTCTTTTTCCCTTGTTATTTTTCCTTTCCTTAGAAGTAGGTGACCTTTCTCCTGGAAAAAAAAAAGAGGGAGAAGGTAACCGATCTGTATATATATAAGTTTTACCATGTTTTCTAATTTAGTTAATATTTACTATTTTTGGTTGTTTACTGCTTTGGAATTAATTAGTATTTGCTGTTTTTGGGAGTGTATTCCGCTTCATGAAGCTGAGAATTATAATTTTCGAGCAAAACGAATACACTAAATTTGGGAGATGTGATGATTGATGAATGTTGAAAATAGCAAATACTATTAGATGTCACTGGACGACTTTTTTCAAGCCTTATTTTGTCTTACGTAACATAATAATTAGGGAGAAAGAAGGAAATATGTCAAAACTTAAGATGAATTAAAATTAATAAGTCAATAGTTTACATAAGTTAATAAATAGGCTAAATTACTGTTTTCGTCCATAACTTGTTTGGTTATAAATTATAACTTGATAAGTTATTGTCCATAATTTACAGTTTTTGTTCATAACTTATCTAGTTATAAACCATAACTTGACAAGTTTGTCAATAACTTATCTGATTATGAACCATAACTTGACAAGTTACGGCCTATTAATTTCTATAACTAAAAATTGGCCTACATACTTTTTTAAGCTTTTCATATTGGCCTATATTTTACTATTTTCCTAATAATTATCCTTTTTCAATTAGGGGAGAGATGGCTTTGCGGATTAAAGTGTCAGAGTGCTAATCCGTTGTACGAGTTTTTCATATTAAAATTCTGCTTGGGTGTTTTTTAAATACGAATTTGTGGTTAATTTTGGATTGAAAAATTCAGTCTGAATTAGTAAACCAAACATGGGGATAATTTTTTGTTGGGATATTTATCTTTTTATACCTTGTGTTTTGAATTTATTTAAAAATTATATTTTCAGTTTTTTATTTCATCAAATGTATACTTTTAAATTATATTTAATACCTAAATTTATACCTTTCTACAACTAACCCTTGATTTTATTCTTGAAAATACCTAAAATACCCTTGAATAAAAAAAATAAAGAAAAAGAAACTAAAAAAACCTTAAACTTACAGTTTTGATCTAAAAAATATACAAAATACCATTAAAATGGATTATTTTGTGTGTATTTTTATTGTTTGTAATGTTTGAAAGTTTTAGGTCCCGTTCACTTCGCTAATTCGAGTTTAGAATTTGAGTTTTTCTATAGTAAAAAGCTCTCACAAACAATCACATCTAACTTTTTAACTACAGTAAAAAGCTCTCATATAAAATCACATATCAACTCGAATTTTAAACTCGAATCAGCGAAGTGAACGAGGCCTTAGTTTCTTTTCTCTCTTTTTTTGGGATAGTTTTATCATTTTAAAGGTTAAAATCAATTATTGACTGGAATAAGGTATAGATTCGTATATTAAATCTAATTTGAGAGCATGCATTTAATGAGATTAAAATTGAAGGTATGTATTTTGAATAAACCTAAAATATAGGTATAAAAATATAAATATCCCTTATTTGTTTCATTTTAATAGGGAGGATTTTTTTTCCCCCTTATGCCTTCAAAGCGAAGAGGAACAATCTCCATCTATATAACTTATCCAAATCTATCAGGTTTTGTAAAATCGTGAGAAAATGTATTTCAAAAGGGGAAAGGAGACAAACACTTTTTAAAGTGTATAAGTTTGAATTTTTACCTCTTAATTTTGATTAATATTCTTTTTAGTCAAATAATATATTAATCAAGAGTAAGGGATACAAATTTATGACATTTTTACTTACGTATAATTGGAATGGGCATGAATCAAAGTGGGCAGAATTCAGAATAGATAGGATTCGGAGTGAGGAATTGGAGTCATAATAAGTTGTTTACTTAATGACAGGATTCGGAATCAGAATCACTCCAAATCTCATTCATGCATTTATTTACTTAGAATGAGAATGAAATAGTGTAAAAGTATTAATATATCCTTTAAGTTAATTATATATTTTTAATTTAAAAAATAAATTGTGTACTTATTATATTAAAATTAGTCATAATTAAAATACATATTATAATAATAGGGTAATAAAATAATAAATATAAATTTTACAATTATTTAGAATATAAAAATAAAATTTTAAATTTTAAATAAATAAAATAAAAAGAAAAATAGTGTTAAAAAATTAAAATATATTATTAATTTATTAAACAAATAAGTACATATTTTTAATATTAAAGTTAACAATAATTAGGCTAATATTATAATATTAGGCAAATAAAATGATAAATATATGTTGTAATTATTATTTTTTAAATTTATTTTTAATTTTATATTTAATTAAAATAGGGGTATGATAGTAATTTAATGTTAATATCAGGAATGAGAATCACAATCCCAAGGGGGGACATGGGAGTGCCAATCTCATTTCTCAATCCAAAATTTGAGTGGGATCTACCAATCTCACTCTCATTTTAGGATTAAAAAAGAGCAAGTAAACATATCATTGACTCTCATTCCTCAATCCTGATAAGTAAACATGTCATTTGACCTATGTACTCTAATGACATATTTACTTATCCTTAATCGGAGTAGACATGAATCAGAGTAGACATGATTCGGAGTGGACAAGAATCGGAGTCAGAATAAGTTGTTTACTTATGTTCCAGGAATTGGAGTCAGAATAAGTCCCAATCTCATTCATGCGTTTACTTATACCCAGAATCAGAATAAACTGTTATAAATTTACTTACCTACTCTTTTAGTAAATTTTTGTGTGTTGAACTTTAAAAAAAATTGTATATTATGCTAACCATCTTAATATTAGAATAACTAATTAGTAATTAGATTTTTTTAATCACACCTAATTAATCATCTAAATTTTTTTTTCTCAATAAATTTTGAAATAATTTAAAGAAAAAAATATAATGATGAAATAAAATAAGACCACTTAAACCACGACTAAGAATTTTAAGGAAATATCCCTTATTGAGTTAGATCCGGAATGTTATAGAATACACGTAGCAAATAATGCTTCGTTGCCAAAATATTAGTGGCATCAATACTTGATCATCATCTAAGCCATCAATTTTCATCATTTCTTGATACAAGTTGACTTATAATCCAGTTAAATTCTTGTCAACCGTGGAAAGCACATCAATAAGACCATCTAATTTGTTAGTAGAATTAAGGGTAAAATCGTAATTCATATTTACTATCAGGATTGAGAGTGCTAATCCGGTGGGGGGTGGAGGGAGTGCCAATGCCATTCATCAACTCCAAATTGGTGTGTGACCTACACATTTCTACTCTCATTCTAAGATAACAATGGGTAAGTAAACATGAGGTTGACTCCGATTCCCAATTCTCATTCCCCACTCTTAGTAAGTAAACATGCCATAAGAGTAAGTTAAGTAATTTTCTCTCTTTATCTTTTTTTTCAAAGTATTCCTTTAAACATTTTATCCAAACACATATTTAAATGTTATTCTCAGTTAGAATTACATTTTATCTGCAAAATCAAATACCGGTTCAAATCACCTTAGATTCTCAATTTTGGTTTTCAGATTAAACAAAAACAAAAAAGGTTTCAAATTTATATTAAATGAGTTACAGTCGCTCATGATCGATCCACCTTTTAAACATAACAAAACTTTCTCTAGGCTTGTACTGAGGAGCTGTGTGCCCTCCACCCTGCACATACAAAAATTGACCAACATTAAAATAAATAAACTGGTCATATATATTCTAACAGCCAACAGAAATTTAAAAAAAAAAAAAAAAGAATTATCCATAGAATTGGAAGAATTTTTTTTTTTCGTGCCTTGACAGTCGCAAATGTCATCCCATTCGAATAAGTCCTGGTGTATCTGTCCAAGGAAATTATAAAGTTCCCGTTCAGCTTATTATATAAATGGGCACATAAAGAAAAAAGGGGACAAAAAAAAAAAGTTTGGTTTTTTTTTTTTTTTTTTTTTTTTTTGAACAAAATGTTAAGTTAAAAATGAGTGAAATTAAAATATAGCAATTTTTTAAAAAAAATATTTCAAAAATAATAAATACGTAATACTTTTTAATTTATTGTTATGGTTTTCCCATTTTATGCTACAAACTTATATAGCAACTTTTGTAATAATTGTAAGTTTTACTATTTAGGAAATATTTTAAATTTTTTTTTTCTATATTTCAACATCATTGGTAAGACTATGCACCTATGCTATATGTCTAACTTATCCCAATGTGTTGAAATCTTTGACTAAGTTTTCATATAATATGCTTTCGAAGTGAATGAGTACAGAAAAAAAAAAAAATTATTTTGCCATATTGCTATTCAAGTGTCGTGCATATATAGGAAAGAAAAATTATATCATCGGTTCAAACTATTCAATGTCTTGTCATCTAATACTGAAGTAAGTTGTGATATGTTACTAACCCTCCGACTTGGGCATCCACAATCCATGGCCTCCAATCATCAACAATGGGAAAATTTAAAGATCTTATCCATGCTTGAGTCTCAGTGAATGGTATCGTCAAGTCATGGTCTCCACTAATTATTTCAATAAGAAAAAGAATATTATTAGAACTCAAGTATATGTAATTAACATGATATGAAATATATGCATTAGAGATTATATATATATATATATATATGTAGATCTCCTACCTGTATATTAAAGAGCGATAGCCTTTGGAACTAAGGTTGAAATGATATGGAACAGTGTTGTCAACATCTTTGTGATAAGGTACGTCGAAATCGCATCGCTGCCATTTCCCTTTTGTTCCCTAGACAATGCATTACGTTCAATATTTATGTATTTATGTCACAATACTATTTTTATATCACTGTCAACTTTATATGTACTGATTTGTTTTGTCTGTTTTAGACATAGTCAAAGAATTAAATTCCTGTTTGTAATATACCTCTCGTACGCCAAGAGCTCTGCGAACAGAGTGATGATTGGCCCAATAGAGAGAAAACCAATGCTCATCTTCCTAACATATTATTTAGACACAGGAAAAAAAAAATCCATCAATTCAGAATTAAAGAAGAAAGTTTTTCTCCTTGTTATTTATTGTATGACATTTTTAACTTCTATAGAGTTGGATAACATTTTAATTTGTGGTTTGTGCTAGTGCTAGTGCATGTCGTTTTAACATCTTATAATTGCTGTCTTGGCTTATCTTACACGACACTGTGGCGCAGAATTCTTCTCATTAAGAGATCTTCTTCCGGAAATTATTTCTTCCAAGATTTGTGACTCATGTGAGCAGAGCAGTGCCAGAATGTGGAATAAATGAAGTCCTGAAACGCACTGTCGTATATGGAATTTGATTATTTCACATACGAATATTACTTTGTAATAAGTGGAATATGAAAACAGCACAGAAGCTATTATATACCTTCTCATAAGCTCGCATATCGTTCAAACATTTTGTATTGCTTGGATCTATATTGTTGTACCTTCCTCTACAATTTTTCTTTAGGGACTGAACAATGAAGACCAATCATTAGAATGAATATTAATTATTTCGACTCTGGTGAAAATTTTATGAAATCAAATTACCTTGTAGAGTTCATCAGAAATAAGTGCCATGGCATGAGCAAATTGGATTTCAAACTTATGGATAGACTTGAGATTTGTTACTGGGTTCCCAACAGCGTATCCCTGAAGCCATTAATTTTTACCATAAAATTAGCACTCAATTAGCACCGAGCATTCAAGCTACGAGACACTCTTCTTCTTTTTGTAATGAGTTTATTTTATTATTGTCTAATATATCTACTTTATTATCTTATTTTTCAAGAACTAAGTTATGTTATTTGTACAGGGAAGCTAATAGAGCTGCCCACACTTCGACTGCTTATGCTTTTAATATAGATGATAAGTTAATTTAATTAGAGAAAACTTCAACGTTCATAGAATCTGAATGAGACGCTTATTTTTATTAATAATAACAGATTTTATTCTAAAAATAAATAAAAAATAGCACCAAGCAAAAGAAAACTCTATCTTTTTTTTTTTTAAATAAAAATTCTACTCATTTCAATGCCATGGATAGATAATAATAATAATAATAATGATAATTATATTATCATCATCATTATTATTCTTTCAATTATTTTGAAAACCTCTAATTTGACCATTAATTAAAAAAATCCAAGAGAGAGAATTTCAAACCTGAAGATTTATTAGTGGTGTGACCCCGGCTTCATTTTCTGCATGGACGACCCAAAAGAAAAAAGAATGAATCTTGCTATCCAAATGTCTAGATATGTTTGGCTTTTTTGCTAGTTTTTTTATCCTTTACCATTAAATACAAATGTTTATAATTTTTTTTTTGTTTATTATATATAGATGGTTCACATGTATTATTTATCCCCGTACCGTTTGAGATTTGGTGAGCAAGGATAGGAATAGTAATCCCAGAGTACGAATCCCCACTGATATAGATTGGATTCGCCGTGTAATCCGGATGATTAATCAACCACTACAATATAAAATTCAACTTTTATTACAATATGGAGACAAAAAAAAAAAAAGAAAAAGGAATGATTTTCGTTTGACTTCATTATAGGACTCCATCAGATATTACTATACCTTCCTCAAAAATTGTACCATGTGATGCACTTGCTTGAAATCTCCGGATTGAGAAGCCAAAGGAGTTCTCCCATAAGAAAACCCAGTTCCAACTGGTGAATCAATAAATATTATGCTAGAGACCTGTTGTTCAATTATCAGTATTATAAAGTCCACAATCATTATTACCACTCCTTAAAAAAAAAAAAATTCTGCTAATGAATATTATCACTTAGACTATAGGATGAATTATTTGCTATTGCCCTCATTTTTTTTTTTCTTTTTCAAAAGCGAAAAGAAGGGAGAGATCAATCAATAAACATTACCATCTATTTCAATTTTTGTTTGTAAAAACAGAAACACAAAATATGTTAATAAAGCCTCGTTTGCGCTATAGGAAGAAAAACAATGCAACCTTTGTCCAAGAGTGTGGATTTAAGACCAAAGTCGGCATCATAGTTCCATTGTACTGCTCTATCTTTTGATTATGTATTAGAGGACCTATACACACATACATATATATAGATATTGGTTAGGACTAGCTTAATTATAAAGGACATTAATTAATTTTTTACTAATTAATCAAAAAAAGTTTATTGGCACCCCATTTCTGTTTTTATATTCCTATCGCTGATATAAAAAAAATTCCAAAACCGACCAATATATCGTCACATTAGGACATTATTTGCTCACTATTTTTTACTTATGAAAAATACTTAAGAGTACTGTCGATATTAAACACTACCTCTAATAGAAAGTGAGTCATACCTGGACATTATTTGTTCACTATTTTTTACTTATGAAAAATACTTAAGAGCACTACTGGTATTAAACACCACTCCTAATAGAAAGTGAGTCATACCTGTAATTTTCATATTTTAGAATTCATATTATATTAATAGGTGGTGCTAAGTGGCATCCGGGTGCCAAATAACATTGCTCTTTACCTATTTCATAAACAAGACCAGACCAGCCAGAGCAACCAGGGCCACCATTAAGCCAAAGCAAGAGAGCGTCTTTCTCTGGGTTCCTTTCTGACTTGACAAAGTAGTAGAAAAGCTGAACATCCTCCGATTCGTCCACTCCAACATACCTGATAATAATAGTAAATGTGTGTGTGTGTGTATATATAACATAATTAAAAATCACTAAACACAAAGTGCTAATTACTATCAAGTTATCAACCATTGGAAATTCGGTTATAAGACTCAAGACTGTGTGAAAGTATCTTTCGAAATCATTAAAAAAAAAAGAATACGGAAAAAGGGACATTATTTTTCATTTTGGTACCCGGTTTCGAGATGAAAAGGGAGAGGTCCCCAGAATCCAGGAAGAAACTGAATGGTATCAGAATCTACGGCAACTGCAAGCTGTACTAGCGAGCATGCCGCGAGAAAAAGAACAAAAAAAACAGACAAACGGTAGAACTCAAGAGAAAGAGATTGGCTGGAGATTGAACTAAGCCTTGCCATGGAGCAACTTCAGGTATTACTATGAATCTAAGCAATATTGGATAAAATGATTTTTTTTTTAATTTTAGATCTTGATGAGAACTGGTGTTGGGCGCGGCTGCTTGTTTTAGTGGGCAAACCAGAGGGATTAGGTGTAAAGGGCAAATTATAAGACATCTTAGATGAGAGTGCAATAATTTCTGACAAATGCAGCTATATTTAAATAACTTTTTACCAGCTGGCAATATAAAAAAACGAGCATTTTGCCTACTATCATATAAAATACGGAATTATTTTTTATTTGAAGACGTTTAGTTTATGAATTAGAATTATAAGATTAAAAAATTATTTTTAATTTATGTGTATTTTTTTTAAAAAAATATTATAATAAATAATGAATTATGATTTAAATCGAGATACAAATCTCCCAATCAAATAATCCATTAATAATTTAATAAAAAATTAGAGTGATACATGTATATTTATTTTAAAAATATATATATATGTTTTAAAATATGTATAATGTGAGAAGTCACATATATTTAAACACATATATTTTTTAAAAAATACATATATTTTTTAAAAATAAATATGTGCTATTTCAATCCGATACTTATAAAATAAATATAGAATTAAAGTGTGAAGTAACTTCAGGAAAGCAAAGAAACGACATGAAAATGAATAAACTTTAACGTAACTGACATCATGTTGAAGTAACAGGTGTAACATGTAATTAAGCATAAAATCTGCAGAAAAGTGTTATAAAAAGAAAGAAAAAAAGATCTGCAAGCTGAAAAGGTGTGTAGCCATTAATGAGTATCGAAGCCCTTGGTTGCTTCAAATTTTGTTGACTTTAATTTTTTTTTTATTGAAATAGAAAATTTTAAATTATGAGGTTTAAATTGTAATTTAAATTAATATTTGAATGTGTAGTTAAACTTTTTTAATCTCAATAAGAAATAAAATTTGAATTTATGTTTAGTAGTTGTAAAAAAACAAAAAGAACTGACACTTTTTTACTATTTAAGAAATGGTTTGAAAGGTTGAACTTAAGGGGGAGTTAAGCTCTAAATTTTACAGTTTAAGTTAGTTCAAATGGGAAATATAATTCAGACTGAACACTAGCTAAATACGAAAGGCTTGTTTGGTTCACGCGTTCAAATCAGTGTTTTTTAATTCTGACATTTAAAATTTAAATTTTTTATGAGAGAAAAACACTAATTAAAATTATGGATTTAAACATATAAAACAAATAGGCCTAGGCCACAATCATTTCTATCATTTCTATCGAACGACAAATGACAATCCTATGATGGTGACTAATAAAGGTAACATATTAAATAAGATTCTATTTTTGGAGAGGGTTTTTTCCCCTTTTTTGAAATAAATTTTATTAATTAGAGGGCTCTGATTTTTTTGCCTCTCCAAGAATTAGTTATTATAGTTGATTTTGTCTAATAAATAATCCCTAAAATGAAAGTGTCTCATTAAAAAGTTCCTATTACCTCCTTTCACCAAGTGCTTCACGGAATGTATGAATTTTACGTTTGTTAAATCTTTTAATAGAAACAACTGAATTGGATTATTAACCTTCAGTTTTCTCAAGGCCAGTTGGTGGATAGATTTGTTATTAATTTTTGGTGAGAGAAAAATAGTGTATTAAAAAGTTTTAAGTTACGGTTTAAACATGTAAAACAAATGTATGTATGTATATTATTTTCTAGTCATTGTTGTTTTAAGTAATTGTCGGCTATTTGGTAGTTTTTGGAAAAGTTTACTCACATTTTCTGAAGTGCATCAGTTGAAAATGATTCTGAATTTCTTTTTTCATTTTCGATTTCCATGGAAAAAGATATCCAAACTGACCTGGTACGTACTTTCATTTTCAGAACCATGTGATGTTAATTTTTCAATGTAAAAAATGGTTATATCCTAACAAAGAATGTTGTACGATAAATTAAGAGGGATTTGACGGACTGGATTCAATGAAAGCCATAAAGACTGTTGACTTGGCTAATAGGTGAAAGTTGCAATGCTAAATTATTGATCAAATTTTAGCATTTGAGTACTAGAAAAATCACACCCTAATGTAAAGCTATTTTTTATTATAAATTTGGCATATACTACACTTGGTGGCGAATTTAAAAATTACACATTTGAGAGAGTGAACGACCAGCCAAACACAGATTTATAAGATTCCGGGCTACAAAATGCTATTGCATGAGTTACAAACGTTCATGATCGATCCACCTTTTAAACATGACAAAACTTTCTCTAGGCATGTACTGGGGAGTTGTGTGCCCTGCACCCTGCACGTACAAAAAAACGACCAACATTATAACAAATAAACTGGGCAGATATATCGAATATTCTACTACCAATAGAATTAAAAAAAAAAAAAAAAAAAAAAAAAGTACAAAATTTTCTTTACCAAAAAAATTAAAAAAAAAAAAAAAAAAAAAAAAACTATCAACAGAATTGGAAGATTTTTTTCTTCTTGCCTTGACAGTCGCAAATGTCATTCGGTTGGAATAAGTTCGGGTGTATCTGTCCAAGAAAATAATAACGTTCCCATTCAGCTTATATACATAAATGGGTATATAAATTTTAAGCAGAAATAACCATGCATTTCATCTTTCATAAGACTGGAATTGAAATATAGTCGTTTTTTAAAAAAAAAATCTAAAAATAGCAGAACTATATAAAAATTATTATTGTTGCTACAAAATTAATACATGATTTTGATTTTTATTAATATAACAAGTAAGATTATGATATATGCGTACCTCATTCAAATGTTAAAACATCTTTTACAAAACTTTCAATTATTTGCGTCCGATTTTTTGCGACGACAAATTTAGGATAACATGTCATCGAAAATAAAATATTTACGACGAAAAATCAGCTATTTGCGACGACATAGCGTCGCCGCAAATGAGCTTTTTTATTGTAGTGCAAAATGATATGTGTTGGATTTTAATTAGTATATACACGAAAAAGTACACAAATATTACATGTAATGAATTAAAATTTATTTATTTCTCTAATAATATAGATAAGCCTTATTGTTTTTCAAGAATCGTACATGTATAAAAAGAGAGAGAAAAAAAAACTTAAAAGTTCGAACTAATTAATGTCTTGTCCTCCAATTCTGAACTAAGTTGTGATATCATGTAACTTACCCGCCCACTTGACCATCGACAATCCATGGCCTCCAATCATCGACAATGGGGAAATTTAAAGATCTTATCCATGCTTGAGTCGCTAAGAATGGTACTCTCATGTCATGATCTCCACTAATTATTTCATGAATAAGAAAATAAATAATAATATTATCAGAACTTAAGTATAAATAACATGATCATCCTAAATAGATGCATGCGTTTATAGAAACTATATATATTTATATAGATATATATCCATATATATATGTATATAATTAGATCTTCTACCTGTATATTAAAGAGCGATAGCCTTTGGAACTAAGGTTGAAATGATATGGAACAGTGTTGTCAACATCTTTGTGATAAGGTAGGTTGAAATCGCATCTCTGCCATTTCCTTTTAGTTCCCTAGACAGTACATTAACTTCAATATTTATGCACATTACGTAAATTTTGTATATAAATTTACTGATTTAGTCAAATAAATAAGTTTAAGTTTGCAATGTACCTCTCGAACGCCAAGAGCTCTGCGGACAGAATGATGATTGGCCCAATAGAGAGAAAACCAATGCTCATCTTCCTGACATGTATGATTATTTAGGCACAGAAAAAAAAATAATATATAAAAAAAAAAATCCATCAATTGAGATCAATTAAAGAAGAAAGACTTTATTGTTGTTATTATGAAATATTAAATCGTCGTTTGTGCTAGTGGATGTCGCTTTAGTATCTTATTATCATTATCTTGGCTTAGCTTACAAGACAATCTGGCACAAAGCTCTTCTCATTCAGAGATCTTCTTCCGGAAATTATTTCTTCTAAGATTTGCGACTCATGTGTACAGAGCGGTTGCAGAATATGCAGTAAATGAAGCCCTGAAACGCACTGTCGTATATGAAATTTGATTATTTTCACATATATGATATTAGTTATAACTTATAGTAAGTAGAAGGAAACAGCAGAGAATCTATATACCTTCTCATAAGCTTGCATATTGTTCAAACATTTTGTATTTCTTGGATCTAGATTCTTATACTTTCCTCTACAATTTTTCTTCAAGGACTGAACAATATGAAGACCAGTAATTAGAAATGAATATTCCCCTTACAATTTTAAGGCTTTCAAAATAATATGGTGATGATGAAATATTTATGAAATCAAAATTACCTTGTAAAGTTCATCAGAAATAAGTGCCATTGCATGAGCAAATGGGATTTCGAAATTGTCATCAGACTTCACATCTGTTACTGGGTTCCCAATAGCGTATCCCTGAAACCATTAATTTTTTACCGCAAAATTTCCACTCCATTAGCAATATATATGCAAAATGATATATTTCTACTTTTATTATAATATAAAAAACTCCGAGAGAGAGAGCGAAAGCTGTAATTACAAACCTGAAGATTTATTAGTGGCGTGACCCCGGCTTCATTTTCTGCATGGAGGACCAAAATAAAAAAATAAAAAAATTGAATCTTGCTATCCATATGTCTCGACATGTTTGGCCTTTTTTCTGGTTTATTTATTCTTTACTGTTAAGTACAAATGTTGATGTTTTTTAATTTTGCATACCGTTTGAGATTTGGTGAGCAAGAATAGGGATAGGAATCCCAGAGTACGAATCTCCACTGATATAGAATGGATTTGAGATGAAATCTGGATGATTAATTAACCACTACAATAGGAAATGCAACTTTATTATAATATGAAAGAGACAAAAAAAAAAAAAAAATAGCACAATGTTTCTTCTAAGTTTGAAGATTAATTGTAAGAAATGATAAAATATAGGATTCTTCTAGATATTACCTTCCTCAAGAATTGAACCATGTGATTGACTTGCTTGAAATCTCCGGATTGAGAGGCTAAAGGAGTTCTCCCATATGAAAATCCAGAACCAACTGGTGAATCAATGAAAATCACGCTAGAGATCTGTCATTCAAATGATCAAAACGTAGTCCACAATCATCATCATCATCATCATTATTATTTTGAACTTGAGGTGCAAAGATTTGACCTCAACATCTTACGGTGGAACAATATGTGAAATTACCGCAGAATGCGCATAGAACCATCAATAAAAACAATATTTAATAATTGTGCTCCTTCAAAAAAACAAATAAATAATTCTTCTGTTAATAACATATTATCTATCACTTATAGGATAAATTTATTTGCTATTGTTCTCATTTATTTTTGGTTTTCAAAGTGAAATGAATGGTAGAGATCAATCAATGAACATTACCATCTATTATAAATTTTGTTTGTAAAGAAAAAAAAAAACAGAAAAACAAAATCTGTTGGTAGAGATCAATGCAACCTTTGTCCAAGCGTGAGGATTTACGACTAAAGTCGGCATTATGGTTCCATTGTACTGCTCTATCTTTTGATTATATATTAGAGGACCTATACATACAGATAAACATATGGATCAGAACTAATTTATAAGTGATTCAGCGCAATATTAATGGAAATTATATTCATAAAATAAAATAAGGACATTGTAATTTGGTCATTAATATCTTTTACCTATTTCATAGACAAGGCCAGACCAGCCAGAGCAACCAGGGCCGCCATTAAGCCAAAGCAAGAGAGGGTCTTTCTCTGGGTTCCTCTCTGACTTGACAAAGTAGTAGAAAAGCTGAACATCCTCTGATTCACCCACTCCAATGTATCTGATAACATTTGTGAATGCCAATATGTAACGTAATTTAGGATAGCAATAAACACAAAATGCTACTTACTATAAACAAATTAAAAACTAACATATCGTCTCGTCACGAATTTAGTTTAATCAGTTAATAAAAAGTCAACAACAATAGGATTTCTCATGTCGTAAAAATATAAAAGTACATAGAAAAGGACTTTTTTTTTTTTTTTTTTTTTTTTTTTTTTTTTTTTTTTTTTCTA